ACACCGAAGGTAGCATACATCAAAGTCTAATCTCACCGGGAGTTGAGTTCCTCAAAATTTGGCCAAACTTCGTTGGAAATTCTAGTTTTCGAGCTATTAAAGTGAACTCGATTATCGATGGGAATTTCACAATTGTACCCCTCGTGCTTGGAGTGTGGCTGATATAGACGCAGATGCCTCTTCTAGTGTTCTTTTCTTTTGCACTGTGTTAAAGGTCTCGATAATATCGCCGGTTTCCCAGTTATTAAAATCTTCTATACCAATACCACACTCTAATCCAGCATTTACCTGTCAGTAGTTTAGAAGTGTTGAGGATACTTCTGATTGGATAATATATATATATATATAAATATATATATATATATATATATATACATATTTTAACTTGACAGTCTTGACAGTCAAATTATCATTGCCCTAAAAGAGCATTTTTCGGATTGTTAAATCATCTTTAGCATTCAACTTGTGGGAAATTTTAAAACTACCCCTGGAAATGAACCAAAACGCAAGAAACCGTTGAGGTAGTGTGTTTGTAAAACTAAATAAATCACTCTTGAGGGTGCACTTTGCAGAATAAAATCACACGCCAAGGGAGCATATTAGTAAATTTGAATGATATATGGGTTCTTTTGTAATACGGCCAAAAGTCGAGGACAGTTCTATAGATATATATACCACAAGGTATACTTGAGGTTAACCTTCATTACCACATTAAATAAGGGACGTTACTCTAGAAGGGCAAAAATGTATTTATAGTCATGTTGGTTTAACGTCACAGCAATTCTAGTCCCAAGATTCCAACTTTTCGCCTTTTGGTCCTATGATTTAATGTTTTGTTGCAGTTTTAGTCATTTGAGGACTGAAATTGCAACAAAAATTTAAATTACATGCTAATCAAAAATTCGGGAATTTTTTGCAATTTTAATCCTCAAATGGACTAAAATTGCAGCAAAATATTAAATCACATGACAAAAAATGAAATGTTGAAACCTGGAGACTAAAATTGCTATGCCGTTTAACTAGCAGGACAAAAAATTCAAATTTGGCCTTCTAAAGGAGAGAACAAATAGATTTAAAACTAATGAATTTACCTCATTCACTATCTCCTTTACCCGTCTCAAAGAACTAAGTATGCCCGCATAAACTTCCTTTCGTTTTCTTAGTATCCGAATACCACAATCTTTGACCACTTTACCCTCAGTTACCATGCAGCCTGCAACTCGGCCACTGCCACTACTGAACACGGCCCTTACTTCGGCCAAACCTATCGGCACCCTTTCCTGAAAAAAGAAAAACAAAAAAACAAGTAAATGCCATAATTATCCTTCAACAGAAATTACATTTAAATAATTAAATGTACTGGCAGTTCTTAGAAATTTCATACAAGAATTTCAAAAAAATTCCAACATTTTAACTCAACTATTTTTTTTTTTAACTCAATTTTAAATCAACCTTATTATCATCAATATTTTCAATATAACTAAATAATATCAATCAATCATTCATACCTACCACATCAACCTTAATTCACTATTTATCCACTCACATTATTTAACTAACAATCACTTCAAGTCATTTCTCTCCTATTTTTACATCAAATCAATTTTATTTATTTTATTTTAAATATTATTTTAATATACCCACTAACAACTAACTATATCAGAAAAAATTAACCAAACAAACCAAAAAATCCAACACCACCAAAACTTTTTATATCCAAACATGCTCTTAAAATTTCAGGTTCAAATTCAGTGAGTCTTGACCGAAAATTCCCACATATACTAGAAAACTACGGAAAACGCCCTCCACTTCTGTCCCATTAAGAAAAAAAATTATTAACCTTCACAAATGAGAAATCTCCCTTGAGGTTCGTATTTTACCCAAACAAACCCAATTCAAGTGTGTGAAATTTGTAAAAGAACGAACAAATGTCTAGGGTCTTCGTGTAAATTCAGAAGATAATTGGTTCATTTTCTAGTTAGGTATAATATCGTTTTTATTAGGCACACGAAGTCCATTTCATTTGAAGTGGGAAAACTCAATTTTACATCTCACATTGTTTCTTGAAAATCAGATAAAAATCCACATTTTTTTATTCTTTTATAAAGAAAAAAAAAATAAAAAAATTGAAGGTCAAACCGGAACATAATACCTCAACAGGATCCAAGAGCCCCTCCATTGCATTTCGCATGTCATCAATAAGTTCGTAGATAACTTTGTACAACCGAATCTCAACATTTTTGCTATCCGCATAGCTCTTAACCGAAGTGGGTATCTTAGCATTAAATCCGAAAATAATAGCTTTACTTGCCACAGCAAGATCGACATCACTTCTGTTCACATCCCCAGTTGCTTGCAGTAAGAATTTAAGAGTGATGTTATCTTGCGGAAGTACCTGTAGAGCTCGTTTGACAGCTTCAATGGAACCCTAGCCGAGCCGTCCAAAATATATATATATATATATATAAAATGCTTTCAGAAAAAGTAACTTATCATAAAAAGAAATTATAATAACTACAGCAGTCTGAGATAAAAGTCAGCATATGGAAGACCAACCTGAACATTGACCTTCAATATGATATTGAGATGGTGTAAATCTATTCCCGCAGTTTTTCCAGATGAAATAGCAGAAGCATAAGAAGAAAGAGTAATCTTCCCATCCCCAGCTTTTGCTGCTATATGTTCGTTCCTCAAATACTCAGCTCGTGATTCGGCCTTTTCTCGAGCAATATCAAGGGAGCTAACAACCTCAAACTCATCACCAGCTAAAGGAACATTATTTAGTCCAATGACCTGCCAACACATGTCAAAAACTCACTGAAAAGCCACTTTTCGATCAAAAAGAGAAGAATATTAAAAAAACTAAAACGAAATAAAATAAAGAAAACTGTCATAAGAGTAATAGTGCATTTTAATAATACCTGTACTGGAATAGATGGACCAGCTTCATCGACACGCTTCTCATTATCATCAAACAGAGCCCGAACCTTTTATATTTTCATAGGAGGAAAAACTTTCATCACAAGTTCATCATAAGAGAGGAAAAAAAAAAAACAAATAAATTCCAATCTGTTTCATCTCGTACACAAACCTTTCCAAAAGCTTCACCACAAACTAATATGTCCCCTCTTTTGAGTGTTCCATTTTGTACAATGAATGTAGCTACGGGTCCCTTGGATTTATCCAGACCAGCTTCAATCACTGTTCCTTTAGCATTTCTATTCGGATTCGCTTTCAGTTCTTGCAACTTGAAAAAATTGGAAACCCAAATTCAGAACCAGTGACAAGACCTTACTAAGAAAAAATAGAAACTAACAACAAATACCACCCCTGACCCCTCAGTAGAACCATCATTTTTTATCATTAGTACGAAATGCATAGAAAGGTCGAATGCAAATCATTGACATTAGTATTTTATGGCATTAGATATAATGACTACCTCAGCGAGAAGTATGATGGTTTCCAACAAATCATCAACATTATCCCCTTTAAGAGCACTTATCTGTTGAAGAAAAAAAAAATGGCTCGTTAATAACTTAACATCGAAGCAAGAATCAATCTTTTATCTTAAAAGACACGAATGAAATTCCACGGTTTTGCTTTTGTCACCTTAACCATAGGTACATCGCCACCCCATTCTTCAGGCATAAGACCAATTGATGAAAGATCTTGTATGACTCGATCAGGATTAGCTCCATTCTTATCTATCTACATTTTGCGGCAAATGCTATCTAATTAAAAGGAAAAAAAAAAAAAAAGAAATTGGGCAACAAGAACACTTTGAAGATACCTTATTTATAGCTACAATAATCGGCACCCCTGCAGCTTTAGCATGAGCAATAGCCTCATTTGTTTGAGGCCTTATCCCATCATCAGCTGCAACTACAATGACAGCAATATCTGTCACCCGAGCTCCACGTGCTCTCATTGCTCCAAATGCCTTCGAGAAAAAAGATAGAAAAAAACAGTAGTCAATATAACTTTATTAAGGACCAAGTGAATGATTATCAGATATTGATGGAAATGCAAGAGGAACAAAAACAATAGAATTACATGTGAAATGTCTAATAGCAACATTACCTCATGTCCAGGGGTATCAAGAAAAATACACGTTTGTTTCTTCCCATCAATAGGTACTTGAACCTTATAAGCCCCAATTCCTTGTGTAATTCCACCAGCTTCACCTGCAGCCACCTAACTCATCGACAAAAGCATATTCAGTTACAGTCTCGGAAGGGACAATTACGAATATTATCCTTCAGATTTTGCCTAACTATGGGGAAAAAGAAAAACCCTTTCTAGCATCACAAGCAATACTCGAGCACTTTCTACTGGATAAACTTTGTAGAGCGGAAATAATATAAGCCACTAATAATTAATATCGATAGACTTTGGAACTTTTGTAATTAGACTAAATCTCAAGGGCTAGGCCAATTTCAGTAATGAACCGAGATCGCTTGTCAGCAATTACGTGGTAGCTCTTATGGAAATATAGAGTAACCTCAGAAAATAAGGATTAGAAGACCCAAAACAGGGAGAAATGAATATACCTTGCTCTTTCGTAAATAATCCAATAGTGTCGTCTGCACATGGAAATGAAACCCATTAGCACGAGTTTCACAAAGAATGCCTTATTCAGAAAAGAAAAAAAAATAAAAAATTTGATTCTTGTTTTTCCTAACCTTTCCGTGATCCACATGTCCCATTATGGTCAAAACAGGAGGCCTCTCTTCTAACTTATCCAAATCTTCCTCGTCGAGAATCTTCTTCTTTTTTGCCATATCCTCCACTCTCAAGGACACAGCATCGATAACCTCCACCTCATACTCCCTGCATACCATCTTCACAATATCCTTACTCAGTTTCTGCACCCCATCGAGCCTAATCCTCATAGAATACAAATACCCAAGAATCTCACCTTCAGTTACGGCCAAATTGTGAGCCAGCTCATCAGTCAACATGCCTTCCTCATCAACTTCCATTATTTCCACTCTAACTGGGGCAGCATTTCTTGCCGCCTGTAGCCTAGCAGCCTTCCGGCTCGCCTTACTCCATTTCCTACCTTTTTGCCTTACTTCGGACGTATCCTCTACAGAAGCATCATTATTATCGTCAAACAAACGCCTGCGAGGTCCTCCAGATGGGCCACCCTTTTTTCGAAACTCGTTTTTGGATCTCAAAATGGACCCTTTCCCAGGTTTGAAAGGGGCTGAAACAGATTGAGCAACCAAACGTTCCACCACGGGTTTCTTGGAGGCAAACTTGTCGACTAGAATCGGCTTCCGTTCTATTTTTACTTCCGCCAGGTCACTTGTGCTAGCAACAGGGGGCTCGTTTGCATCCTTTGAAACAACGTGTTTCTTGGAGGCAAACTTGTCGACTAGAATCGGCTTTCGTTCTATTTTTACTTCTGCCAGGTCACTTTTGCTAGCGAGAGGGGGCTCGTTTGCATCCTTTAAAACAACGGGTTTCTTGTTAGTCGGCGATGAAGCTAAAGAGGGCCTGGATTGTAATTTTGGTTCGACTTTCTGAGGCGGCTGGGGAGGTATAGGCGACGAAGGATCCTGTTTTAGAGGTTCTTTGACGACTTTATGTATAATAGCCACCGGATTTCCCTTACGCCACACACTTTTCATAATTTTTTTCCTTCGTCTCAACCTTCCCACTGAATTAATGGCTTCACCATTCTTCTCGTATTCCATTTGATTTACTGAGTGTTTGTTTGGATTTAACGGGCCATTTACCTCTTTAATGATCTCTAATTTCTCTGCTTTCTCCAAAATGTCACCTAGCGACTCTATCACCTTACTTTTCTCATCCTCCCTGTCACTTAACTTCCCATTTTCGAAACTCCCATTGAGTTTCGATTCTCCCCAAGGCATATCGAGAAGTGGATCTGTTTTAGACCTCGATTTCAACATATGCTTTTGCGGTGCTCTGATAAATTTATTTGAGTCGTCATCTCTACTGTTGCTACTACTACTACCTCTATATGTAGAATCATGAGATAAGGAATTCCCCCTCTCAACATAATTTGTCGGAACGGAAGATCTACAAACACTGATATACCTCAAGTGCTTGCATTTCCAAGAACTTCTCGAACGAATCCCATCCCCAGGGAAAAAGACCCTCGTACCCAAACAGAAAGAACCATTGTAATTAACTAAAGAAAACATATTCGCACTTCCCAAATTCACCACGGGAGCTAAAGAGGCCATCATTCAAACAGTAAAACAACCTTCCCCATAAGAAAGCACCATACGAATTTATCTCCTTCTTTTTGTTTCCTTTTTCATTTTGGTCCTATATTAGAATCAAAAATCACGAAAGTTTCAATATGCTACGAAAATCTCCCAATTCCTGAAAGCACCCTCGAGATTATCAACAACTGCTCTGTATGACACAACAAACTGTATTTCAAGCTACTAATAAGAACCCACTTCGAAAAAGCTCTAAATTACACAAATATTGGCCAAAGTTAGCGTCTTTACCTGCAAAATTACAGTCTGCTGCGAAAAGCTCCCAATCCTGAAAACGCCCTCGAGATTATCAAAAACTGCTCAATATAACACAACAGACTGTATTTCGAGCTAGTAATAAAAAGACCCACTTCGGAAAAAAGCTGTAAATTGCACAAGTCAGCGTCTCTCTTTACCTGCAAAGTTACCTCCTTGAGTTAGATTTTCTAGTAATCTCTTTAAAATTCCCCCTTTTCTCAATGGATGTGAGAGGGAAAGAGGAGAGTAGAGAGAACTTTGTGGGCGGTGGGATAGGTGAGACGGCCTCTGAATTTTTTATGCTAATTTTTCTGCCATTTTCGCATAAACAACACTTTGGCTGAGAGAGGTTTCAGGTCCGGTTTATTTTTCTACGGACTATTTTCACTTTCAATCTTGATAAAAATTTTAAGAAATGTATATTGTTCCAAATTTAAATGTTGTATTTTTAAACAAATATAAATACGATTATAATAATATTTTATATATAAATATTCATGTTTTTAATAAGAACAAAAAACATGTATGACAACATGTCTCTAACATTTTGAAAAATGATTATCTTTAATTTTTTTAGAAGTTGTACTTGACTATTAACATATAGAAATTAAGTAAATATATCTATTAATAGTTAATAGCGAACTAGTACAACACCCGTGTATTACACGGGTGCTTGTTAAAAAATTATTCTTAAATTTTAAAATTAATGAGTAAACTATATTAAATTTAGTTTACTTTTTTACAAAAAAAATATATTACTATATATTTTAGAATGATATGTGTTACTTATGACTTACATGTGTTATATTATATTAGTTTTTATCACATATATCATATAACTACTTGAAATATAAATATATTAGTTGATAAATAATTTTATTTTTCTAATTAATATTAAAAATAATTTTATTATTGTTATAAAGATAAATATAAATTATTTTTTTTATACATACAATATGGATGTTAAATCGAAGCTCATCAAAAGAAGATTAATTTGATGTATTACATCTGTAAAACTGATAAACAATACAAAAGTTATTAACTTTTAAAATACATACTAGTACAACGCCTGTGTATTACACGGGTGTTTGCTAATCTTTTCTTAAAATCTACAATTAATGAGAAAAATAATTGAAAATTTAAATATCTTTTATAAAAATATATATATTATTATATATTTAGTATGACACTTTTCTATTTGTGCGACTTACTTGTGTTAAATTATAATAATTTTTTTAACTTACAACATATAACTACATTAAACATAAATATATCAATTGAGAAATAATTTTATTTTTCTAATAAATTTTAATAAATATTATTATTTTTTATTATTATAAATATAAATATAATTTCTTTATTTCATATATACAATATGGATGGCAAATCGAAGATCATCAAATGGTGATTAATTTGATATATTATATATGTAAAACCGATAAGAAATACAAATGTTATCAACTTTTAAAATGCATTTACAATTAAATAACTAATTGAAAGAAACAAATCAAAAGTCAGTGATATATTAGTCAATTAATGTCTCACTATGTAAAATTACAAATAATTAAAGGGTTATATTAGTACAAGTGATATTAAAATACCTAAGTTAGCTATTTAATATTTATGGAATATCCGAACCCAGATTATTAATTATTATATATCAATATTATTTGTCCAAACCTAATTACGAACCATGATTCTTTGCCAAGTAGGATTCCGAAGCACCAGAAGCAGCCATGTAGGCTCAGCGCATTCGGAAATAATATATAGGGAGGATACAATTCAATAGTTATAATAAAAAATGATACTACCTCATATTTTTAACATATGTCGTTTTGAGAAGTTTCACGTTAATTAAGAATATTTTTTTTGTCAATAATAACCTTATTTAATGAAGATAGAGATGAATATTTTGAGAAAAAGTGAATAGTGAATATGAAAAGACGTAATGTATTTATTAGCTAAATGAGGGTAATAATGGAAAATATGTAGAAAATATCCAAAACGATATTTATTTGACAAATAGTTGATACAACTAGAATGACATTTAAAAAAATAGGAGGGAGTATTAAAATGCAATTAATGCATTTAACATGACCATAAATAATCAACATATTTATGGTAATCTGAACCTAATTGTTTTTTGTTTGGAATTAAATTATAATTTACCCAAGCCTAATAACAAATCATGTAAGTTTGTCACATAGGATTTCGAAACAGCAGAAGCAGTAACGTAAGCTTAACGCGTTCTAGATTAGTATATAAAGGGATTATAATAGAGTATTTAATTAGAAGATTGCATAGCATCTTATTTTTATGTTGACGTTTATTCTTATATTTCAAACATAAAATATATATGAAATTTTATCTTAAATTTCATTTATAGATTTAATTTTTTCAAAGATGAATAACTCACTATTTTTTTTTTTTAAAATATGGAATTTAAAAACACTTTAAAATGACAATAGAAGTCTGGAATACACCATTTAGAGCATGTTTGTTTATAAAAATTTTCAAAAAAATTCTAACACTTTAACTCAAACACTTTTTATAATACAACTTTAACTCAATCCCACTATCATCAATATTATCAATATAATTAAATAATATCAATCAATCATTAATACACACCACATCAACCTTAATTCACTATTCATCTACTCACATAAATTTAACTAACCATCACATCACATATTCTCTCTCCTACTTTTACATCATTTTAATTTTAATTATTTTATTTTAAATATTATTTAATAACCATTAACAACTAATCATACCACCTTTTCAAAATTAACCAAATCAAATCAAAAAATCCAAACAAACTCAAAAAATTTCATAAACAAACATGCTCAGATTTCATCACCACTGTTTATTTAAACAAAACAAAAAAAAAATAGT